CAAGTAAGTTTCGGTTTTTGCGTAAACTGTATTCCACTCTCGTCGATGAGTCCATAATAAAGCTTTAAGTAATGCTGAAGAGAGAAGGGATTTAAAGAGATGAGTAAATTCTCTGATCCAATGAATAAAAAAATAATGAATTTCATATAGTCAAGTTACCTGTGATTAATGCAGAACTCCAAACATCAACATGAAGAGCTTTCACATGATCATCCTTTTGTACATGAGCGGTAAATGCTTGTAATAACTCATCCTTGGAAGAAAAGTTAAACAAGCTTGCAACATTGTCAGTTATTTCGAAACAACCATCTTGGCGTTGATAAGTCATCAAAAGATATAAGTGACGAATTGTAATGGTAGTTTTCGATATAGTGGTGGTTGTAATAGATTCGGTCTCGGCTTGGGAAAAGGAATTGAAATCGGCAGTAAATTGAAGTTTTCCTTTACTAGATCCTTTTAGTGTCAAATTGGAATCAAGATCTAAATGTTTTCCTTCAATAGTTCCATTTCCCAAAACCTTAATAAAGTCTTTGAGATCGAGAACATAATATCCCAAAAGTACATGCTTGAAGAAAGCATTATAATCGTAAACTTGCAACTTGAATTTATCACTAAGATCATAAATTGGAATGTAAAACACTTGCTCCCATTCTGGATTGATGGTATTGTAAACAATACGAGTTTCGCCATATTCCCAACCAGTAGATACACTTGTGATTCTTAAATAAGGATCAGAGGCACCACCACCAAACCAAGAGTCGGCTTGCATGAGATTCTTTGCTTTGTTTATGTTAATTCGTGCAATACCGTAAAGTTTTTTGGCTAGAGTTTACAATTAATGAAAATAAAGATTAAAAAGTTTAGGTGACATGACCTTAAAAATGTTTGAAGAAGGATTTTAATCAAAATCAAAATATATTCTTTACCGGGAACAATTCCACCCCCGAATTTAACCTCGCGGAAACCTCCTTTCTTAATGGAATTGATCTCTTCAGAAATAATTGCCATAAATTTAGTATCCAATTCATAGGCTTCTTCTTTGACGCTATATCGTTCTTTTACGTATGATCTGACAACGGTAAATGCTTCTGTTTCAATTAATTCTCTGCTTTTGAATTGTCCCCATAACCATCTGTAAGATCTTAAATAAGTATCCTTCCATTCAGAATGATGATCCACGCAGACGAGACGGAAGAAATGCAATACAAGAATATTAACCCAGACTTGAGTTCCAAGATGCGTGATTTTAGTGTTTTTAGAATGTTTGTTTATATGTACAGTGAGTGCTGTTCGGAGTTGATCAGCATTATCAAATGAAAGTGACTTCGCAAGATCATCATTGATTTGGAATGCACCATTAGTTTTAAGTTGAAATTTCATTATACGATGAATATCTGCTGACTTGATACTTTCTCGTGTAATAACCGTTTTTTCTTTATAGGCGTAAAAAGTAAGGGATTTATATTATTTTCATGTGATAACCACAAATATATATATATATATATAACATAATAATAATAATAAAAAGCAAGCACAAATTACTTACGTGGATCACTGGTCTTTATGTCAAATCTTTCACGGACGGCCTTTCTTCCAGAAGCAATAACAATTTCTTCAATTTCCAAGTCACCACTAATCTCTTTACTGATATATTGTTCTGCACGTTCATAAGCGCCGCTCCATTCACTTCGAAAGTCTTTTAATAAATATCTCAAAAACCATAAAACCTATAAAAAAAAATGAATAAAAATAAAATTTATTTTTGTCATGATTTAAAAAATAAGTTGCGCCAAAACTCACCATACTAGTGGTCCAAATTGTTTTATTAATGTTCAAGACTCTCTCTTCATGACAATTAGCTCTGTATAATTTAAACATGGTATCCGAATCGGCATAACCAAACAAATTAGCCAAGGTGTTGGAAGGAGGGAAGCTACCATCTGGTGACTGCAATGTGATAAGTGTGAAAAGTGTTAATCGATCAAAGGGTTTTTCTTTAAGATTTGCAAGGAAATCTGTCGATGGTTCCGGCAAAGGAGTTAATGGGAAGAATTTTGCTTTGTAGTGAATTTGTCCTTTGATTGAAAGTTTAGCCCATCTGAATATTTAAATTAAAAGACGTTTGGGAATTTCAATTAATGATTATTTCTATAAAAACACAATTGATATTAAACATAATAGATATTATGTATACTTACACATCAATACCAGGTGTTCCTTCATATACGTCATCTCCAACTTCTTTAACTAGTTCTTTGGTAACTTCAAAAACGTATTGACCAAGTGGTTTGTCTTTGGTGAAAGTATTGAAATCCATCACGTCCAAGACGAATTTATCACCAATATTCTTAACTGGTAAATAGTGAACTTCTTTCCAAACAGGATCCAAATTATTATCGATGACTTTGGTTTGAGCGATAATATCTTTACCACCTTCGTGAAAAACTCGAACATAAGGATCGGATTTTCCTAAACAGGGTTTTCAGAAAATTTTTTCGTGAATAAACTTGTGATTTCACGTGATCACATCACAAATGATAAAAATTCATTACCTCCTGCAAGGAAAGAGTCAACACTTTTAAGATCCTTGGCTTCCACCAATTCCAATCTAATGACACCAATAGCACCTCCGCCTAAAGTGGAATTAAAAAAAGAAAGTCATGAATACCGATCAAGCCATCACGTGTCATGTGAAAATCAACATAAGATACATACTACGACTTTTCTTCTTTGATAAAGCTATCAATGTCCACTTAGCATTATTAGACTTAACAAAACTTTTAGAACCATTGTCAGCGAGCACGACATATGAACCTTCTTTCACGGAACCTTTAACGTCGATAACGTGTTTTGAATGACTTTGTAAGGCAATATGTCCATCCTTGTTTATTTTCCATCTTTGATTAGCAGCTTGATTAGGACTTTTTCGATGGTAAAGGACGAGACGGTTACCAACTTTTCCTACATGACATTTAAACAATCGAACGATTAGCATTTATTTAGAAGTCACATGATCAACGATGTCACATGTTAACCATCGGGACTGATTGAGCCGTGTAACATCAGATAACGCGAAATGTTGAATGAATATCCGGCTCGATGATAACTTACCACTCTCAGCTTCTAAGCATAATGAAGTTTGTTTGTTAACGAGCCAACCGTCTTCATACTTCCAAAGTTGATATGGGTCGTGGTCAACGTCATTTTTTTGTAGAGCAACAACAGTTTTTGTGCCGTCTTTAATTGCACCCCAAGACACAAAAAAACCGCGTTCAACGTCCACTACCAAATTTTGGGAGGCAGGGGAAGACGTGGAAGCACCCGAAGGTGAACCAGAAGACTTAATGTAAAAGTAGCCTGGTGGGAAATCCATACTAGTCATAATCGTAAGTTATTATTTTACAATTTGGGTTTTCAAAAGTGAAATACCCAAGGAGAAATGAATTTTTCTTTTTTTTTGTGATTTATTTCTTTTGAAAATTAAAAAATGAAATATATTTAACAATAAATACAAAATAAATACAGGAAACGTCTCCCGAAAAATTGAAAATTTTCGGTGTAAAAGAAAATAAAAAACTACCTAAAGCTCTTTTATAATAAATGCTATAAAAAAAAAAATTATTTAGATGAAAATTTATTTATATTACACGAGATTTTCATCAATAGATAAGAATTACAAATAATAATAATAAAATACTTTATTTTTAACCTTTTTTTTTCCCATGCATAGGAAACATAAAGAAGAAAAAAAAATTTCAAAAAGATGTGAAAATCTTTCGGCTGAGATGTTTGGCTAATTTTCTACGTCACACAGCAACAAATATGGGGCAAGGGGGGTTATATGAAGACGCGTAATTCATTCTTTCTTAAAGTCAAGTCTGATTTCGATGATTGTTGTTCAACGATTGATAACATTATATTTGCAACGGAACACTAACACTAAAAGTTCATATGTGGAAGTGAAGGAAAGAAGAATGATGATTTAACACATATCGCGGAAGAAACGCGCAACCTATTAATTTTTTTTTTTGCTTTACCATCAATGGAAATTGTTAATACATATTTTTGTGTCGGTATTTTTCTTTGTAAGAAAAAATACCCCAAGGTAACACAGCGGAAGAAAACACGAACTGCACATACTTGATTAAAAAAAAAAACAGGTAAAAATATCAATTATCTCAATCTTTTTTTTACCAAATGTGGAATGGCAAAATAAAACAGGTATTATTTGATAATGTGATGTGGAATCACCCGTTCAACAATCATCGTCTCTTAATCATAAATGAAAAAAGATTTTGGAGTTATAAAGTGAATAGAACCTGATGAACGAGAAAAGAAACTTCATCGCGCGATTTTGTTGAGTTGAAAAAAGAAACAAAAAATATTATTTTTGGAGGTCCGTCTTTTACAATAAGAAAAACTTGATAAAAAGCAGGTTTTGACAGAATAAGAGTACCTTAAATGTTTATTATCACATTGACAGGATAAAATCAAAGGAGGTTGCAGAGAGTATCACCATTTTTTTAAATTAAATTAAATTTTACATCCCTCGTGCACGCAGATCCATCTTCAGATCTGTTAAAAACGATCAGCCGCCGCAGCATTCAACATTGTAACATTACATTTTTACATTACGCGATTGTCCGTTACACGATTCATCATCTTTTTTTTTATTGTATTATTTTAAATCCAAAGTGAACGCGTAATCTTCTCTTTTTGCATTGATAAAATCTTTTTGAGATGTGATGAAATAAATTTTTTTTTATTAAAAAAAAAAGGATAATAATAAAAATGAGAATGTTTATGCATTCATAAGCACCTCAGGGGTTGAAAGATGTTTCATAAATGCCAAAATGCCAATCGCACAAGCTATTCATAAGTGATTATTGTGATTATTAAGATTAATAAGACATACATGTTCATGTAATTTCCTTCCATCAAGATGAATTGATTTTTATTTGCAATCGATTCTAAAAAAAGTTATAATTAAAAATAGGCTAAGTATTTCAAACGTTTATCAGTGACTATCTAGGATGGGGTGTGTAACGTTCAAGGAATGTCGCAAACAAAAATGTTTAATTAATACTTTTATTGACAATTTTTTGCTTTGGCAAATGTTAAAAATTTCTATAAATGTGTAAATTACTTTTAATATTATCAAACACAAGTAGAACCTTTCTTTTTTCCCAACAATCGTGTGTAAACAATCGCGGGAATTAATGGCTTTTTGGTTTTTTGTTTTTTTTTGTTGAACATATTTAACCTTTTTATCTCTATTTTCGATTTAAACTTACTATTTTTGTATAAGTTTAACTGTAAAAAAAAATATGATTAAATAACTGTCTTATCCTCCTAATTTATTATCTATTATCTTTTTGTTCGAAAAGTTTCCATCTCAAACTAATTAATACTGTAAATATTTCATCTTTTTTTTATTTTCGTTTTTTTTTGTTTTTTCCTTTTTTTCTCATTTTTTTGACCACGCGTTTATAACTTATTAGTAACGGTTAAACATTATAACATTTGAAAATTTTGACAAACAAATATTTTTTAATCATTTCTGAAATTGGTTCGTGCGATGATATTCCAAATATTTTCCCGATTTGTGATTCGATTAAAATGTCTATATACAGCTTTTTAATTTGTTTATATTGGGAAAATGGCGTTATTACAATGCGCAAACAAAAATTATATGACAATATTATGCAATTGGTGGCTTGGCTATTTCATATCCCATAATTATTATAATAAAGATAAGATTTTAATCACTTTACTTTATTGCATGATGCTGCGCCATCCATGTGTTTTCTTCATTTTAAAGTTGCAAATGGAAATTTTAAATAGTTTCAAGGATTTCCATCTATGGTAAGCATGTTCTTTGTCCAACAGTTGGTTTAAACAATATCCCTTAAATATAAATTGATTTGATAGATTCTTTTTTCAATGATCTATTAGATTAACGATAAGGTTTTTCTTGTCTTCTTTTTCTATATTTGCAAAAGAACAGTTTGTTAACCGATCTACTTGACATTATTTTGACAGGTTTCACAAGAGGGTCTCATCACTTGATACATTTTTGGATAACATTCATTGTATCCCAAGCAAGCATTTGATTCAACCCCAGATTATGGTGATTGCTAAGCCACTATTTAATGATAATGCTTTTTTCATATCAAAATGAGCCTATTTATATCTAACATTTTGTATATTGAATACCTAGTCATAAATAACTTGGGTTTATGTTCGTTAAATAAAATACAAATCATAACAAAACTTTAATAAACTTTGCAAAATGATTACTATCTTTAATCTTTCTCAACAATACGTTGAAGATGACCTTCAATTTCTGTGGTTGACAAAGTTCTAAACCTCGGATCATCCTTTGTGACAATCGCAACTTCAATTTCGGTTGGTTTAAAATCAGCTGACAATACTGATGAAAGCGTATTAATAGCTAACTGTTATATTAAAAGGGAAGATATATAAGTGTATGCGGTTATCAGGATATTACGAAATGATTTTTAATTTTATCATACCTCTACTGATTCTTCAAAATTTAAAACTGGATCCTTTTTAAGTTTCTTCTCTAAGTAGTTCAAGGCTTCTTGCTGCTTCGCTCCCGCAGCGGTAGCTTTGTATCCAACATAATAACCAGCGGGATCACATTTGAAAAGTTGCGGTCCTCTTTCATCGTCATATCCGATAAGAATCATTGCTGTGAAAATTTGTCAAATTTATAAATCATAACAATGTTCTTTTTTTTTTTCGCAATTAAAAAAAAAACCACTTAAAACTCACAAACTCCCAATGGTCTCATGGCTGCATGTTGCGTATAAACTTGGTTAATATTTGCAACCCGTTTCGCGAGCATGTCCGTTTGAATTTCATATCCAAATTTATAGCAAAATTCGGCAGCTTCTTGCCTTGCACGAGTAACTTGAGCCCTTGCATCAGCTTTTATAGATATATATAAGTATATATATTTATAATTATAATTAACTTTTGATATCCTCGATTAACGATCATGAAGCAAATAAATAAATCAAGAATTTCGTACCAATTAACCCTGTCATGACACATCCGACATAAGTTGATAATTTAAATATATGTGAAACGGTGGATGGATCAAGCAATTTGTCCTAATTAATAATTGATTTCAAAAAAAGTTAAAGAATTTTTTTTTATCCCATTATTATTATTATTATTATATATTTATCTTTACCGGAATTTTTTTTTGTGTTACGATAACAACACTGTCTTTACCACGAATACCAACGGACGTTATTCCAGAATTAGATATTGCCTTGAAAGCATACTCTAATTTAATTAAAAAAAAAAAGAGTTCTCGAGTTATCAATAAAAGCATGATCTAAAAGTCTCGCGATCGTATCAAAACATACCAACTTGGTAAAGACGTCCTTCCGGTGAAAAGATAGTGATATGACGATCATAACCTGTGCTTGCTCCTATATAAATAAAATAAAGTTCAATATTTGAGTAAAATCTTTTTAAAGAAGGTATTTACAAGAACTTTACCGCGACTACTCATTGGAAAAATTTTGATGATAGATTGAACGTAATTATTCTCATTACGTATTATATATAGATTATCCCTAACCACGTGATGATTTGCGATCAAAGAACTATCACCGGCACGTGATGAATTTTGCTGTATTGTCTAAAAATAGTTGGATTAGTTTTCGCAAAAATTTTGTTGAAATAAAACTTAAATTCCCTTCAACTTTTGAAATCATTTTTTTATAGGAATGTTTGCGCGGTCTACAAGTTTGCTTAGGGTCAAAAGGGAGATTTTAAATTTCATTTTTTAACTTACATATTGTATTTTTAAAAGTTACTTTACAAAGAAACAAAGAATTCTGTATTGAAAACATCGATTTCCTCCTTAAGTAAAATGTGATTTTAGAATCTGTGTAGAAAATTTATTTTATATTTAAAAAATAGAAATTTACTATACATCACTACTACTCTATAAGAAATCCAAATAAGGAAATGATATGTTTTTTATAAGGTTTGTATACATAATTGATGATTCTATATCACAATTCCATATATTTTATAATGATTTAATTTTTTATAATTTTTTAGAAAAAAAAAAACTCTTTAAAAAAATTTTTAGAAAATAAATTTTTATTCTAATTAATTTAATATTTACAACTCTGTTAATTAGTTTATTTTTTCATTTTTATAACACTTTTTATTTCTAAAAGAATTTTACATAAATTTTACAACAAATAAAAATAGGTAACTGAAAATCTGAAAGAACTTTCATTCCAAAAAATAAATTCTGCTTTGACCCTAAAGACAAACAACCTAAACCTGTAACCTTTACCTTAAATAGTTCTACAAATAATAACTCCTTCTCTAATAAAACTATTATAAAAGAGACTTTTCAAACTAATGTTATACCAATTTTTTGAATCGCTTGCCTTAAATTAATGATATTCATATGAGTGCAGAAGGTTTCCTTTGTAAAGAAAATGAGAAATTTAATTAAAGATTTATAAGTATGATAAAATACGATAAATGCGTGTAGGATAAATAATTAACAAATAAAATTATAGTATTGCCTCTGTCAGCGCGTTTATACTAAACAGTTTATTATTAAAGGATTTATAACTATTAAAAAAACTTAAAAAAACTTATGAAAAACCTATTCTTAATCCTAAACTGCTTCTATTTATATAAAAACTATCCTATATATCATTATAATAATTTAAATAAAAAAAAATACAAAAAAATAAGATAATAAATAAAATAGATAAAATAAATACAATAAAATAAATAAAATAAATAAATAAAATGAATTAAATGTTAATAGATCTATTTTGTAAATCAATTTTACTACCATTTTAGACAATTAATTTATGTCATTTCATTGCTTAATTTATATATTAATTTGATGATCAATTTCAGTAACACTAATTTGATTGATTATAAATCATTTGTAGATTAATTTTGTAGATCTAATTTTAAGATTATTAAGAAAAATACAACTATACCAACCTTTTGGATCCTGATGAATATGTTCCAATAGAAGACAATAAAAATATAGATACTGACAACTTTATCATTATTACTAGATCCACTTATTTTGCTTGTACTTCTACAATTAAAAAAACTGCTTGCAAGCTTTCTACTATAGTTATTATTAAATCTATCAATAATCATTTACCTATGATGACGTGTGTAAAAGGACAAATATTCAACATATTAATTTTATCAGATCAGTAATCATCTACTTCAATAATGAAATTACAATTAAGTCAGCCCTTACTATAAATTTCCTGATTTGGAAATCAATCAGCTTATCAAATATCAATCTTAACAAAGACAACATGTATTTTCAACAACTCATCCTGTATATTACTGATATATATTTAAATATGAAGAAAGATACCCTTACCTCAATCTTCACGTAATATAAAAAACATTACTAATGTTAAATTACAAATTCATAATTTTTGGTAATACACATATATTACTTATGATAATCCTAAAGTCATTCAATTATTTTACACGCAGTGGTTATGTTACTTGTATAATAATTGTATTAGAGTTTATCCAGCGGACTTTTCTCAAAAATAAGTCATAATATTCACATCAAATTAACCACCTACTCTTTAGTATCTTAGCACGTGATTTGCAAGATATTATTCTGACTATTAAGACAAAATCCTGTTATATTTCATATTCAAATAACTACAAACTAAGATTCTTCACAATTTTCTACTTTGATTCAGATGACTCTCTTAATGATGCCATCAAAATTGGCTATATATATGATGAACATGATCTACAATACTATTCTGCTGAATCAAAGTATTATCACAAATATGATTCTTTGAACACATTGTTATTAAATACCCTCAAATTATCCTACCAAATAAAGATAATTTAACTGAAACTAAATAACCATATAATCATCTGTCATTCATTCAAAAATTGTATAAAAAAATTCAAACCTGTTAGCTCACATAACCTAATTCTTCAAAACAATAATAAGAATAGAAGAAATTATTCCTTTAACCATGATTTTAATATTTAATATTCTAGTATTTTATCTGGTAATAACAAAGGAAAAAATAAGAACACTGGTCTTACTGGTCCTAATCATAACTCATTAAATAAATCAATACATAATCTAAACAATAATAATAATACAAATAAGAAACTTGATCAGATCTTTGACATGCTCTCAAGCATGAAAAAAGTTATATCAGATTTAGAAACTCATATTTCTAAATTAGAACAATTCCAATAATTGTTACACTGAAAATTCCTATCACTCCATCACCTATTGCTTCTAAACCAACTTCTTTTACATATGATAATCAATGATCTAAAATTAATAACTTATATATTGATAAAAGTCACAGTTCTAATCTCAATCCAATCAATATGAAATTACAAAATACTATTGATGAACAAAATTCTATCATTGCTGACCAATATGCTCAGATAGATATCATGTTTACTCAACTCTAATCTATATTTTTATCATAAATTTAAATTATATTTACATAATTAACAACAATAATTTACCTCTCAACTCAAATAAATATATTAATGATAATTCAAAAGGAACTCTCACTTTATTTTTTTGTTAAAGTGCGATCAATTAAAGACTACATAAAAATTGTATGACTTTATTAGAGCTTCGAACAAGTCGGGTCAGGTCGGGTAATTGACTTGACCCAATCTAATAAGGTCAGGTCAGGTCAGACATAAAATTGACCTGAATTAAATATACATTTGACCTGACCTGACCTGTCTAAAAAAGGAAACTAAACAAT